TCTTCTGCTTGATCAATTCAGCTGTTGAAACTTGCGTGTGCTTCACGAAGTTCTTGTGCTGTGTTATTCAGCTCCATCAAGTCGTTTGTTTGTCTCTGCACTGGTTATTCTAGTTAGCATTTCATCTAACCTTTTTTTCACAGTTCTTAGTGCCCTTGCGTTGGGTTAGAACATGCTCCTTTAGTTTGGAGAAATTTGTTATTACCCACCTTCTGAAGCCTGCTTCTGTCAATTTGTCAAACTCATTCTCCACCCAGTTTTGTTCCCTTGCTGGTGAGCAGTTGTGATCCCTTGGATGAGAAAAGGCATTCTGGTTTTTGCAGATATCTGCCTTTTTGTGCTGGTGGCTTCCCATCTTTGTGGATTTACCTATCCTTGGTCTTTGAAGTTGGTAACTTTGGATTGGGTCTCTGAGTGGATGTCCTTTCTGTTGATGTTGAAACCATTTCTTTCTTTCAGTTTTCTTTCTAACAGTTAGGTCCCTCTGCTGCAGGTCTACTGGAGTTTGCTGGTCATCCACTCCAGACCCTGCTTGCCTAGGAATCACTAGCCAGGGCTGCAGAAGAGCAAAGATGCTGCCTGTTCCTTCCTCTGGTAGCTTCGTCTCAGAGGGGTACTCACCACATACCAGCCAGAGCTCTCCTGTATGAGGTGTCCATCAACCCCTACTGGGAGTTATCTCCCAGTCTGGATACACAGGGGTCAGGGAGCCCCTTGAGGAGGCAGTGTGTCCCTTATCAGAGCTCAAGAGCTGTGCCAGGAGATTGTGGCTCCCTTCAGAGCTACTGGGTCGGGAGGTTTAAGTCTGCTGAAGTTGAACCCGTAACTGCTCCTTTTCCCAGGTGCTCTGTCACAGGAAGGTGGGGCCTCTATATTTAAGTCTCTGATGGGCTGCTGCCTTTTTTCAGAGATGCCCTGCCCAGCAAGAATGGAGTCCAGTGACACAGTCTACCTGCAGAGGCCTCGCTGAGCTGCTGTCGGCTCTGCCCAGTTGCTGTGTAAACTTGCCAGCGACTTTGTTTACACAGACAAGGTTAAAACTACCTACCCAAGCCTGAGCAATGGCAGATGCCCCTCCCTGCCCTGAGCTCGAGCATTCCAGCTGGAGCTGAGACTGCTGTGTTTGCTGGCTGCGAGAATTTCAAGCCAGTGGATCTTAGCTTGCTGGTCCTCCTGGGGGTGGGAGCCTACAAGCCAGATCACTTGGGTCCCTGGCTTCAGCCCCTTTTTTTTCAGGGGAATGAACAGTTCTGTCTGTCTGGCATTCCAGGAGCCCCTGGGGTATGAGGGGGGGGAAAAAACTGCTGTGGCTAAAATGGCTGCCCGTTTTTTTTTTTTCTTGTTTTTTTTAAAACGGGGGGTTTCACCATGTTGATCAGGCTGGTCTTGAACTCCCGACCTCAGGTGATCCCCCTGCCTTGGCCTCCAAAGTGCTCGAATTACAGGTGTAAGCCACCACACCCGACCGGCTGCCCAGTTTTGTGCTGGAAACCTGGGGCGCTGGTGTTTAGGCACTGGAGGGAATCTCCTGGTCTTTGGATTGTGTAAACCATGGGAAAAGTGCAGTATCTGAGCCAGAGTGTCAGGAAGAGTCCCTACTGGCTTCCCTCGGCTAGGAGAGGGAGTTCTCTGGCCCCTTGCACTTCCTGGGTCAAGCAGTGCCCCACTCTACTTTGGCTCGTCCTTCTTCAGCTGCACCCACTGTGTAACCAGTCCCAATGAGATGAACCAGGTACTTCAGCTGAAAATGTGAAGATCACCCACCTTCTGTGTCACTCTCACTGGGAACTGCACCCCAGAGCTGTTCCTATTCGGCCATCTTGGCAGAAACCCTAATATCTATTTCATAGAAATGTTGTGAGGATTAAATGAGCTAATGGACTAGTGCATGTTAAAGGTGGAGAAAATAAGCACATACATGTTTGGTAGTGTCAGCAGCTATTTATTTTTGGGCTTTCTAATTGGTACATGTCAGTAGAAGATAGAGCAATGATCTGAATTCAAGTACAGTTGTCCCTTATACTTGGGTGTCCTTGGGGGATTGGTTCTGGACCTCCCACCCTCACCCCAGGGTTAAAAAAAAGTCATTGTTGCTCAAATCCCCTATATAAAATGGCACAGTATTTGCATATAACTTAGGCACATCTTCCTGTATACTTAAAATTTTCTGATTATATGTAATACCTAATACAATATAAATGCTGTGTAAATAGTTGTTACACTTTAGGGAATAATGACAAGGAAAAAAATCTGGAGATATTCAGCACAGATGCAGCCATCTTTTAAAATTTCTGAAGATTTTTTACTCATGGTTGGTAGAACCCACAGGCTCGGAGGGCCAGCTGTGCTTCGAAAACAACAGCTTGTGGCTGGGCGCAGTGGCTTACGCCTGTGATCCCATCACTTTGAGAGGCTGAGGCAGGAGGATCACGAGGTCAGGAATTTGAGACCAGCCTGGCCAACATCGTGAAATCCTTCTCTACTAAACATACAAAAAATGAGCTGGGTGTGGTGGCACGTGCCTGTAATCCCAGCTACTCGGGAGGGTGAGATGAGAGAATCTCTTGAACACAGGAGGTGGAGGTTGCAGTGGGCCAAGATTGAGGGTGAGACTCCAGCAACAGGGTGAGACTCAGTCTCAAAAAAAGAAAAAAGAAAATACTAGCTTGTGTTTTATTAGAAAGGAAATTCTGTCATAAGGAAGATGCATATGTGTTATGAAATTGGAATCTTTTATTCTGTGGTAATCCTGGCAATATTAAGGAATTAGAGCAGATTAAGGATTCAGTAGGAGACGTAGGACCAGTGGTATTGGGTTTATACTATGACTTTATGGAGAAGGATTCTTTGCCTAACTTGAATCATTTGAGAGACCTTCACTTTCAGTGTTGGGGAAGAACTTGGCCGAGCAGGAGTATGTTTGCCTAACTTTATTAAAGGAGTAGTGTTCTGTTGTTCTAGTAAAAATCTAACACTTGTGATTGAAATTGTCCCTCCTCTTCTAGAAGATTGAGCCTCAGCAGATTATAGTAAAAGCAAAAAGTTAGCCTGACTAGCTTTTTTTTTTTTTTAGGTGACAGAGTCTTGGTCTGTCGCCCATGCTGGAGTACATTGGCATGATCTTGGCTCACTGCAACCTCTACTTCCCGGGTTCAAGTGATTCTCCTGCCTCAGTTTCCTGAGCTGGGAATACAGATGCCCGCCATCACAACCAACTAATTTTTATATTTTTACAAAATTACAAAAAGAGACAGTTTCATCATGTTGGCCAGGCTGGTCTCGAACTCCTGACCTCAGGTGATCCGCTGGCCTGGGGCTCCCAAAGTGCTGAGATTATGGGCGTGAGCCACCATGCCCGGCCTCTAATTAGCATTTTTGAAAGTTTTATTTACTTTGGATGTTTTAGGGCTGAAACTGTGCTACGAACCGTGGCTGTGTTATCCAGTGGTGGCCTGAGTTCATAATAAGCCAGAACCATGATCTTGAGGCTTTTTGTATGTAGGAACTCCTGGTCTCTACTTGTTTTCCTAGTTTCTGCTCTTTATGGAATTGGGTATGGGTGGAGAGTTACTGTCTCGCTGTTTGGTAACCCCAGGTGTAATGAGTTGTCAGCCATCTATGATGAGGAAGTCTCACATTCCTGTCCTCTTTGCCTGATCTAGGTGACAATTCCTAGCTTGAGAAAAGAATTGTTTCCTTGATTACAAGATTGACTTATACAATCCTTAACTAGAAATAAGAGTGTATTACTATGTGTGTCTCTCTTAACAGATATGAAAATGGCTGTGCTTATTTCCACGAAGAGGAAAGAGAAGGACTTGCAAAGATTTGCAGGCTTGCCATTCATTCTCGATATGAAGACTTCGTAGTGGATGGGTTCAATGTGTTATATAACAAAAAGCCTGTCATATATCTTAGTGCTGCTGCTAGACCTGGCCTGGGCCAATACCTTTGTAATCAGGTAATGTGGTATAAGGGGGCTATTTTAAAGAAATAATGTCTTGTTTTATCCTGAAAAATTTTAAATTGACCTGTTTCTCTAGTTGCTGTTCTTTTTGAGTGATAGATGGTCTTATATGCTTTTGTCATATTTTTAAAAATTACTGGATTTAGAAATAAAGAATATGTGGTAGATTACCCAAGGGCAACCACAGCCAACATTTTCTTTCTTTTTTCCCAGACTTTAATCGAAGCATTTGTGTTTATATGGTTGTATTTGGCTCTTTTCACTTACACTAAAACAGGAATATATCATATTTTAGTAATAATTATTCAGAGTATATTTTTAACGCTTTCATGGTATTTCTTCAAGTGATTATATAGTAATTTAACTGTTTCCCTTTTGGATAATTAAAAGTGTTTGCATTCTTTTGCTTTCTGTGACCATTTTCAGGTCATGCTCTTTGTGTAGTGCTGTTACGGACTTCTCTGTGCATAAAGCTCTTTCCGTATTTTATTTAGAGTTAGGGTCCTCAGATGGATTTTCAGAGTCAATCTAGAATTGCTGGATCAAAGAGCATGGCCATTTTTAAAGTTCATGGTGCTTCTAGACCAAGTGCGGGGACTACATTGAGATAAGACATTGTTTTAACCCTCTTTACTAAGAACATTTGAAAGCAAAACCCATAGGGTTGGAGGGTTCCTCTTTTGTAAGCTGTAGGATTCCCAGTGGGGTGTATGGGAGACGCTCATTGACTTTTAAATTGATTCTGAACTGTGATCACCGGTGACAAGAAATCATGTCTTCTTCTTGAGAGTGTACAAAATGGGGAGTTTAATAATAATCCAATGAAACATGAAATAACACTTAGTGTCTACTGCAAGCCAGGCTCTCGTGGACCCAAGGCTGTTTGGGGAGAACAGTTTAACCTTCAAAAGATGTGTGAGAGTGTTGTTTTGAGAAAGGCAGCCGGCAGAGCATCATATGTAAGATGGTTATGTTCATGTTTCTTAAAGTGTGTGTACCCTTTATACCTATGTGTTTGTACCTAGAAAAAGATATACATTTATACCTAGAAAATATCAGAAAGGTTGTGTATTAAACTGTTAACAGGGGTAGATTGGTGGCTTATAGGGTAGGAGGCTAGGCATTTTCACTTTTAATTCCAGTATTTTTTTGATAATTTGTTTTACTTGGATGTGACGTTCATAATTTTTTTTTTTTTTTGAGATGGAGTTTCACTCATGTTACCCAGGCTGGAGTGCAATGGCGCGATCTGGGCTCACCGCAACCTCCGCGTCCTGGGTTCAGGCAATTCTCCTGCCTCAGCCTCCTGAGTAGCTGGGATTACAGGCACGCACCACCATGCCCAGCTAATTTTTTGTATTTTTGGTAGAGACGGGGTTTCACCATGTTGACCAGGATGGTCTCGATCTCTTGACCTCGTGATCCACCCGCCTCGGCCTCCCAAAGTGCTGGGATTACAGGCTTGAGCCACCGCACCCGGCCCATAATTTTTTAAAAAAATTCTTAAAGGAGCAAAATGTGCTTGTTAAATTTTTGGTCTTTGAATGATACCAAGTCTTAGTCACACTGCGCAATATGCTGCAACTGTTTACGATTCCTAAATCTAGAAACTCCTCAAGGACTTGGAAGCTAAAAATGAAGAATATGAAATTAAGTTGACTGTCATTGTCTCCGTGCATAACACTGACTTTGCTTCTCTTGAGAAATGTACATCTGCTAATCCATATTTATTACTTTTTAGGGGTGGGCGGACCCACAAATAAGATACTGTTCTTTGAATGCCTTTAGCTGGTGTTATTTACCAGTAATGCTTGGAGAAAGACTCCAAAACTACCCCCACTGACTACTTAGTTGTTGCTCTGTTTGCAAAAGTGTTTCTGTTATATTCTAGAATATACCAAAGATAGTTGCTTGACTCATTTAGAAAATTTTACGTTATATCCTCTTATGAGGCACTTGGAAATTCACCCTTTCTTTTTTGGCTTGGCTTTCTAAATGTACTTTAACATCTATTTATAATATTAAGAGTTCCTAAGGAGAGAGATTTTTGAGAAGAATAATCATGGCTGTCTTAGAGCCACAGCTTTTTGCAATCCGAAGTGAATGGTGCAGAGAGCTTTCTTGTCAGGTCGCGTGTTTCTTCTTGCAGCTCGGCTTGCCCTTCCCCTGCCTGTGCCGTGTACCCTGTAACACTATGTTTGGATCCCAGCATCAGATGGTGAGTTCTGCTTTTGGTTTGTAAAATAACGTGGGATTGTGTTTTGAAACTACCTTCCTTTCAAATGAAGTTCTGTTTGCTGGCCTCCAGATAATTAGTAGCTTATTCATTTATTGCATGGATGTTTCCGTCGTGTAATATATGCTTCTATTAATATGTGAATGTCCATGAAGGTTGGCTGGTATATAGGTTAGGAGCACCTGGCTTTTAAGGAGTCTTATAATTACTGTATCACCTACTTTAAGTAGAAACCTGGCAACTCAATTAAGCACCAGAAGTTTCTTCTAAACCTCGTACTTATATGAATTAGCACTGTTGCCTGGATTTATGAAAGGGCAGATTTTGAAAATGAGGTTGTTCATTGTAATCATGAGATTGACTTCTGCTTATATTTAGACATGTAGGTGATAAATCTCTCCTTAGTAATTCTAGAAGGAAAAGGAAGGGATGGATTTTAGAGTTTTGTATTTCTTTTGTCAAGGTAGTTTTATTTTCTAGTTCAGGTACATCAATGAGTAATAGTAAAGATACATTCTTGGCTGTTTTAGGGGAGTTGAGAGAACATTTCATTTAAATGTAAATGTTTAAAACCAAAGAAATGTTCCTGCATATGTACAGTGTTTACATTTAACCTTGTTTAACTGATTTTTCTAGTCTTTAAGGAAAATTGATTTTCACATCTATGATGACAGAAAACAGAAAAATTGTCAAGAGTAGGAATTGATTTGACTGATTACTTTTGAGAGTTATCTGCTTCTTTTATAAGTCATAGTTTTTCATTTTAGAGCTTTTATACGGGGCACCTCATTTTTTAATGGTTTGTTTTGGTTCCAGGATGTTGCCTTCCTGGAGAAACTGATTAAAGATGATGTAGAACGAGGAAGACTGCCCCTGTTGCTTGTTGCAAATGCGGGTAGGTAGCATGATGCTGAATCTACCATTTTGAATATATAGGAGTGAGGCTGAGTCCTTAGCCGGGCAGGGGTGGCTCATACCTGTAATCCCAGCACTTTGGGAGGCCGAAGCAGGAAGATCATGAGGTCAGGAGATCAAGACCATCCTGGCCAGCATGGTGAAACCCTGTTTCTACTAAAAGAAAAAAGAAAAAAAAAATTAGCCAGGCATGATGGTGTTCACCTGTAATCCCAGCTACTTGGAAGGCTGAGGCAAAGGAATCCCTTGAACCAGGGTGGTGGAGGTTGCATTGAGCTGAGATTGTGCCACTGCATTTCAGCTTGGCAATAGAACAGGACGACTTCTCAACCAGAAAAAAAAAAGTCTTAAGGAATGTTTGTGTGCCACATGTTTAAGATAGTCTGTATCCACATTGTAGTAAAAACTATAATAGTAAAGTTGGCTCATTAGATTTTCTTTAATCGTTGGTTTTGAAAGTTATTTTATGTGTACGTATACTTTTTCACTTAGATTGTAAATGCTTCTCTATCTTCTCCTTCATGTATTTCCTTTCTCTGTTCTAAGCTGAATTTTATTTTATTTTTTTGAGACAGTGTCTCACTCTGTTGCCCAGGCTGGAGTGCAGTGGCGCAGTCTCAGCTCATTGCAGTCTCTGCCTCCCAGGTTCAAGTGATTTTCCTGCCCCAGCCTCCTGAGTAGCTGGGATTACAGGTGCGTGGCACCATGCCCAGCTAATTTCTTATATTTTTGGTAGAGATAAGGTTTTACTATGTTGGTCAGTCTGGTCTCTTGACCTCAGGTGATCTGCCCATCTCAGCCTCCCAAAGTGCTGGGATTATAGGCATGAGCCACTGTGCCCAGTGTGAATTTAAAATGACACTTTAAGCCAGGTGTGGTGGCACGTGCCTATAGTCCCCCTACTCAGGAGACAAACAGGATGTTGGCTTAAGCCCAGAAGTTGAATAGCAGCCTGGGTAACATAGCAAGACCCCATCTCAATAAATAAATAAAAATAATTATACTGGCATTGTGAGATTGTTGTAAAAATTAAATGAGAAAATTCATAAAGTCTCTCTCACTTAAATATCTACCTTACAGGTGGCAGAGCAACTACCACTTTCTGCTCCATTTACTGTATTCAGCATCATACTTGAAATCTAAGTGAAATAGGCAAGAAAAATAAATGACATACAGATTAGAAAGGAATAAGTAAAACTGTGTTTGCAGGCATGATTGTATAGATGGAAGGTCCTAAAAAAACTAAAGAAAAGCTCCTGGAACTAATATTGGCAAATCTATCCTGCTTTCTGGATTTTTATATACTAACAAAGAACAACTGAAAATTTTATTTAAAATGTCATTTATAATGGCATCAAAAAACATGAAAAATTTATGGATAAATTTAACAAAATACATGCAAGATCTGTACATTGAAAACCAAGAATGTTACTGAGAGAAATAAGAAGACTCAAGAATGCTATGCCATACACGTGTTGGAAGACTATTAAGTCAGTTCTTCCCAAACTAACCTGTAGAATCAACTCAGTCCCTATTAAAATCTCAATAGGTGGCCGGGTGTGGTGGCTCACGCCTATAATCCCAGCACTTTGGGAGGCTGAGGTGGGTGGATCACCTGAGGTTAAGAGTTTGAGACCAGCCTGACCAGTATGATGAAACCCTGTCTTTACTGAGCATAGTGGCATGTGCTTGTAATCCCAACTACTAGGTAGGCTGAGACAGAATTGCTTGAACCTGGGAGGTAGAGGTTACAGTGAGCTGAGATCGAACCATTATACTCCAGCCTGAGCAGCAAGAAAACAAAACTCTGTCTCAAAAAAA